GCTGCTTGGCCCGCTGTGTTCATCCAGCTCTACACCTTGTTATCTCAGATTCTCCAGCATCAGCAGTTCCTACAATCTCTGTAAATGACTGAATATGTGATGGGGCAAAGTTTCCTCTGGGTGGGTTACAACATTAGTGCATAATAGATCTCAGTCACCTTTCACATTCTGGACTTACCCTCAATGAAGTACAGCCCTGTGTTACCAGGGATCACCAGGTACAAGTTCACTCCTGCAGCCTCCAAAGATCCTCCTACGCTGGGAATCGACTTGTATAAAATGTGAAATCTCCAGGTTGGTGTGAGTGGTCAGAACATGTATAATAAGTAACACCAGTAAATTCCAGATTGTACAACTTACTTGTAATCATATTATTAGCCACTCGGTTAGTGATGATGGAAAGGCCCTAGTTACAGGGTTAGTTAGTGTGGTTACAGGGTCAGTCACTGTGGTGTATGCACCCTGGTTAGTTGATGGCTACTATACGTCAATGATTTGCATGTCTTAACAGATACATAAACGTACAGGGACTAGAGGGGTACAGACCATGCAAAAGGCAAAAACTTCCTAGTTTAGAAAGGCACCCTGTGTCAACGCAGTGTTGGTGGGTCCAAGGGCCTGTACTGCTCTTTATTTTAATGGAGAGAAACTTCGCAAGGAAGTCAAAAAAGAGAAGGAGAGATTCAACCAGATTCCCTTAACTCAGGCAAAGCTGTGGGTGAGGGAAAGAGACTGACCTTTAGGGCCAGCGAGGTCTCAAACTGCAAGGCTCTTCCTGTTTCTTGGGTGTTCTATTGCTGTTCAAGGGGCTGTGCCACTTTTGGATAGACTTCTACAATCTTGGCACGGCCAGCATTCATTGCCTGTCTGTAATTGTTCTTGAGAAGGCAGTGGTGAGATGCCACCATGAACACCTGCAGTCTGAAGGGTAGCTATACCCACTGCGCTGTACCAGAGGAAATGCCAAGTGTTTACCCTTTTTTTGCTCGCGATGGCAATATTGCTGGAGCAGTCTGCTTCATAAACCCATCCAGGATTCTTGGCAATGCAAAGCTTCTGTTTGTTTAAAAATGGATCATTTTAAACAGGGGTAACAGAGTGCATTCGAGCTGCACTCAGACTCAATGTCCCTCCCACCGCTGTACCACGCCCACGTTAGGCACAGGAAGGAAAATAAACATCACTGTCTGGTCACTTGGGAAAGCATTGACTTTTGGGGAGAGCAGACTCTGTGAAACGTAGCCAATGGATAGAGCTCCTGCAAAGGCAGGATCAGAGAAAATTCCAGGGAATAGCTCCCATCCCTAGACAGGGAGGCTGGACAATCACAGGATCTGTGCAGTTGTCACCCTCTGCTGCTCACTCACAACACAGCAATAGCCTGTTCCAAAGTTTTGACATTTTCACATCAGCCACCTGATGATTTGAATGTAGCTTCATCAATATAGTGTCTGAAAATAGGAAATGAGCATTTATACTTTGAAACATCTGAGGATTTGAGTTAATCCACTTTGGGACGAGAGCAATGTACTTTAGTTCAGGTAATTTAGTAAACGTTGCAATATTCTAATGGCAATTCAATTGTCCCAGTGGTAAGGGGGACCAGGGGCAGTCAGTTTAGAAGAACATCAGTTTAAGGGATGTTCTGTTATCATTAAATAGTGTTGTCCTACTCACTATTCAGGAAGGAAGAACATGGACATATAGACTAAATATATACTGACTTCACCAGGCTGTCTCACTGTCACTCCCCTCCACGCAGACACCAGGCCGCCCCCCCTGCCCGCTCCACGCAGACACCAGGCCATCTGCCTGTCGCTCTCATTTTCCACTGAGCTCAATTAATGATCTGCTCACTGCTCCTGAACACTCAGCTCCTGTTTCTCTGTTGCCTTTCTCCAGTTCCTGCTGATTTTCCGGAAGGCAGCTGCAGGAGAGTTAGCTGAAGACAGTGGTTTGCACATTCTGGCCCAGTTATCTGAGATCGATGTCTCCACAGAGGGTGTGAAAGGAGCTAAAACCTTCTTTGAAGCCAAAGTAAGTGCCGCCACAATTTTCTCGTTTTCTCCGTTATCATCTTCGACAGGTGTATTGTGTTTAGGTTTACAGCATAGAAGCAATACATTTGGTCCAGCTCGTTGATGTTAATGTCTATAATGCTTCATATATTCCACTTCTCCACCTTAACATTATCTCACCCTGTCCACATATCCTGCTGGTCCTGTCTCCTACATGTATCCCACTTGATATCCATTAAATGCTGGTCGTCTCACTTAATCCCACACTGTTCACTATCCTCATTTTGACCTCGACACGGTTGCTGTGGAAAGTATGAAGGGCTATGACTCCTCAGCCATGGCTGCGTGGCTCCTTTCTCCTGTATTCGGAGCTGGGAATTGTAACTGTTGTGAGTCCCACCCAGCTCTTTCCACGTTCCTGTGCTCTGTCCAGCTGTGAGGACACAGGTTTTTTGTGACTTCAGTGTGGTATCGAGTTGAGGATTGTGGGTGCTGTGAATCAAACCGTTTCCCAATGTGGTGCCAAAACTGATGAGGTACAGATTGCAGCAAATTATCCTGGCCCAATCTTCCCACTGATCAGCCCAGCTCAGTGTGATGGTCTTCCAACTCCTACGCATGCTATACCCACTGCCTAAGAAGGTCCAGTATGAAAAACACTCTTCAACCCATCAACTCTATTCCAACCAATCTGTAACCCCTGTTATGATCCCAGCTGACGTTATTCCTGGGCAAGTTCAAAATCGGACTGAAATCTGACTTGATGGATTATATTTTGTTTTGCTTTGGTTTTAACAAAATGGTTTTTCACTGAAAAGTAGGCATGCAATGATGCAGGTTTTGTTTTAACAATAAAACTAATGTTTATTAAGCAAAAGAAATGAAAGTCAAAAATAAACCAAACTGTTCATTTATAATACACTTTTAAAGATTTTGAAATGTATGCAGAAATAAAATCATATTAATCCTAAATCCCAAAAACAATTTTACAGTACCCAAAAGCACCTTTTTTTACAGAACTCACACCAGAAGAAATACCTTGCACCTCGATAGCCTTCAGGTAACTATGACTTAGTCTCTGTCCAAAACATCTGAACAGTCTGGAGCTTTCATACTCCTGAGTTTAACGTCCTCAGCTTTAAATAATCTCTTCAGGGATTTGTCCAAACGCTTCCAGGCTGACCTATCACTAAACTCTTTACTCTAAGGTAATTTCTAGTTTTACTATCTTCTCCACTTCTTAGGAGCACTGTTTTATATATCCATCTTCATCCAATAATTTCTGCACAACTGCCCTAAACTGAAAATTTAAAAAGAAAACATTTTCCAAGCCATGGGTGTTCTAAGCTTAAAACATTCCAGAATTTTCTAACAGATGCACAAATATTTACCTTCTTTAGTTGTAAACCTTCCGAATATAAATGAAAAACTTACCGGATATGAAAGCTACTTCCTCAAGCTGCTTTAAAAGATATACCTACAAGTTAATCATTAGCTCTCCAGACACACAGAAAAACCCATATGTCTGTCATTAAAATAAATTATATTTAAAATATATATAAATCACACAGTCTACACTACACTTTCTCTCCTCTCCACTGAGTGTTCCCAAATCGAGCCAAGAGCTCTGCAAAGTGGAGAAATATTCTCATTGTAAATGTCTACCCTCTGACTGTGAGGCCTGCACTTGTTACAAGTTAGAAGGATGTATTAGCAGGGTTTGGTGAAGAGATACAGGAGGAAGTTCACATGGGACACCAGCATGGGCAGGTCGGCCCAATGGCCTGCTCTTGTGCTGTCGACTCAATGCATTTCAATACGAATCACTTGGTTTATTTCCACAGTTGGATCATTTAAAGACTGGGATTGGGTCCTTCGCTTAAGGGCTTGCAGGCTGTGTTCACTAGGGATTTGCTCTGGTCCTCAGTTTTTTTTATTCATTCACTGGATGTGGGTGTTGCTGGCTAGGCCAGCATTTATTGCCCTCTCTAAATACCTGGAGTCAACCATATTGCTGTGGGTCTGAAGGCATTGACCAGGTAAGGACAGAAGTTCCCTTCCCCAAGGGACACTAGTGAACCAGATGGGGTTTTCCTGACAATCAATAACAATTTCATGGTCATCATTAGCCTTTTAAATTCCAGATTTTTTTTTTCAAAATTAAATTCAAATTCTACCTTATGCCATGGCAAAATTTGAACCCAGGTCCCCAGAATATTAAGTGTCTCTGAATTAGTCCAGCGATAATACCACTAAGCCAAAGCCTCCCCATCAGGCCATTGAATTAGAATTAGATTTTATTGTCATGTGTGCTCAAGTATAGGAATACATGAGTACAGTGAAAAGTGTACAGTCCCCATTGTCTGGCACCATCTTGATTACAAATCCAGAATCTCAAAAAAAAACCAGCAGAAAGAGAAGAAAACCAAATGGTAAGATCTAGATCTCATTGGGAAAGGGTCACTTTGCTTTGATCTAATAACAAAAGGTTCATTTCTTTTGCAGGTTCAGGCAATCAACAGCGCAAATCGATTCGAGCAGGAGATCAAGGAGGAGCAGGAGGAGAAGAAGAAACAGGCTGAGCAGAAAAGGCAGAAGCAAGCGGCCTTCAAGGAGTTACAGTCAGCATTCAAGTGAAGGCCACAATCCTGCCAGCTGGCAATGCACAGCTGCTGGGAAAGGAGAAGGATCCAGATTCTAAACCTGCCAAATCTTCACAAAGGCAGAGAAAACTAACTACTTTTATTTTTAATGAATGGGGATAGGGAGGGGGAAGGGTTTTGTGGGGAGCAGCTGGAGTACACTTGAGGTAATCCTCCGCAATGACCAACTGAACAGGATCGAGTGATCACTCAATCATTTCCCGCTCTGTCCTCAGGATCATACGCCACCAGCAAAAGACGGGGTGCTGGCTGAATGGGGGTACGGGGCGTGCTGCTGTATGGGAAGATCCCAACCTGTGCTTTTTTTAATTGCACTGAGGTATCGGCCTGTTGCTTTCCTCCTGCTACTGATCTTTTTTTTCCCAATGGTGGGTCTGGGATGTAAGGGGGATGAAATCCGTGTGGTTGGAGGTCCCAGTTCACATTTTAAAAGGAACATCTTGCTTGGCACATTCACCGGTTCCTGTTTTGCCTGTTTTTGGAATGGGGGAGAAGGGGGCTGTACCAATTTTACCCTCAACGCTGCCCACTCCACAGACGGGCCTAGGGAAGAGGCTCATCCAGGAAGCCAAGTTGATTCCTGCTCCCCAAAGAAAGACTGACATAACTCCTCAGAGGCTAAGGGGACATTTCCAGCTACTTCCACCTAACGGGGACAATCAAAAGGAAATGGTCAAGCACAATGGTCCTGAGATGATCCTGAGACCCACTCAGTTGTTTGTGATACTTTTACAGTCAAGGCCATAACGTAAGGATCCCTTGAATCAGGCTTGAGTTTTTTTTTTAAACAGCACACCTCTTGCAAAGTCTACGTTTTAAAACTGCTGGTAGGGGAAGGGTGTGGGAGGATCAAAGATAAACAGTTGGCAATAAATTCAACCACTTGGGGATTATGTTTTATATAAAGGATCCTTTTTCATGCTAGTTTACTGATTTACTCTGGGATTGGCTCCAAGGTGCCAGGCAAGATAAGGGTTTATTTCCTTGTTGCAACTGCTTGTGGGGGTGGCACTGAGTTCTATTCGTCCCTGACACTTCCTTAGTGACTGGGCCTGGGTGTCCTGGCATTTAGCACCATTCTTGAATGGATTGTGCCTCTTCACATGACCCTGGTCTAGTGTGGAGCTTGTCTCAGGCTTCAAACATGTCTCAATTGCATCCACAATGAGGTCTTGCTTCATGTAACTCACTGACCCCCTTTCCTCAACCCCCGGCCCCTGCTCTCATCACCTGACTCATTCGTTCAGAGCAGGCTCTCAGGTTGAGGCCGGTGGTTTTAGTCCTTAACACTGTTCAAACCAAACTTTATTTATTTTACCTCAAGATCAAACCATCAGAAATTAGTAGCCTATGGAGGAGCTTTTTACCTGATCTGCATTCAATGCCACAGTTGTACCTTTTGGGAAGGGGGTAGGCACAGAAAGGGTCCTACTGATCCACAGTAACAGCTGATTCTCAACACGAGGAAGCCTCCAAGACCCCAGGAGACCCTGGGCAGGACCCGAGTTCCCTCTAGATTCCTGATTATTGGGTGAGGAGGCAGAAGCAGATAGGCATTGGTCACTGTGGGCAATATGGTGGCTCAGTGGTTAGCACTGCTGCCTCACAGCGCCGGGGATCCAGGTTCGATTCCACCCTCGGGCGACTGTCTGTGTGGAGCTTGCACGTTCTCCTTGTGTCCATGTGGGTTTCCTCCGGGTGCTCCGGTTTCCTCCCACAGCCCAGTGCATGTTGGGTGGATTGGCCATGCTAAATTGCCCATAGTGTCCAGGGATGTGCAGGCTGGGTGGATTAGTCATGGGAAATTCAGGGTTATAGGGATAGGGTAGGGGTGTGGGTTTGGGTGGGATGCTCTTGGGAGGGTCGTTATGGACTTGATGGACCAAATGGGCTCTTCTGCACTGAAGGGATTCTATGATTCAACGTTGGAGCTGGCATGCAGACTCCCACTGGAGTTCAATACCCAGCAGTATTGTGGGGGGTGTGGGAGGGACAGGGTATTTGAGGTCTCAAGCTTGCTGCTGATGGTCTTTGATCACAAACATTGATAAGTCTCAGGTCACCCTCCACATCAGGGGCTGTAGGAATGGAGTTCCATTTTAGCAATAACATTCCTTAGTGATTAGCATTTTCAGATGGAATTATTGACCAGTTCCACTTCCAGGCTCTTGCTCTTGGCAAATGAAGGCAGACATTACAATCAGTGCCCTTAATGTAAAGCCATCCTCTGAAGCTCTCTGTATATAATGTGTAGGTGTCGAGCAGTGAGGAATACATGGGTCTGGGAGGCCACTCTAATGTTTCAGGGGGTATGGGGTGAAGGTGCCTAACTTGTTGCTTTGGGTTATTTTAACCAGTCTCTCTCTCTCTCGAGTATTATCACTGTGATGAGTTTACCGATGAGCTGTGCAATATGTAAACAGTCAGTCAGGGGGATCTCTAGTCTGTGCTGTGTCTTCCTTCAAGCTCTCGTGAGCAGTGTAGTGACTGCTCAAGGTTAGTCCCTGCTTTTCTGACCACCCCACCCCTGTACGACAAAACGGGAACCTGGTTTTCTTCTCTAAACTGCCAGTGCACTGAGTCGACAATGTCGTTAACCTTATGGGTGTCTGGCTAGTTCCTGTTCAAGCCTCCTTTCCTGCCCTGGTCTCCTCAAACAGAACACAAGACTGACTATTGCCTTTTGTACATGCTGCTGTGAGAGAGCAGTGCTCAGCAATGTTAAACCATGTGGGCCTCCTGTGGCCTTTTGAGCATGAACCAGGAGCTGTACCACCCTGGATCAGATGGGGGGCTGCTGATAAAATTACCCAGTACCGAGGGAGGCCCTTTGGCCCATTAGATCCGTGATGGTTGTTGAAAGAGCATTTCATTTGGTCATGTGGGCTGTGGCAGTTCTCACATTGGTTCACCATAGAAATGCCAGGTGTGTATTTAAAAGCAAAACTGTAGAAGTGCCTTTTGCAAGGAAGCATGTGTTTGTGAAACTGACACATTGTCCTGTTCTGGAACAGAGTCTTGTTTCACTGTGACAAAGCTGTCTCGTTCCGTTTCTTAAAAATTAAAGTAAAAATTGGGCCGCTTACCAAAAATATTAAAAATCAAAGTCAACGATTCAGTTATGTCTGGTTAGCAGGGAATATTTCATATTCCTGGTTCCCAATCAGCCTCTGCCTGTTCCCTTGGGAATCTGTGATTGTGAGTATTCACACAGCTAATGTGGAATAAGTCTCTGTAAAGCCCTGTTTGTTTGAAGTGCATTGTTTGAGATGCACCTGTTTTATTTGTATAGTAAAGGGAAGAAGGTTTTGGTTGGTAAATACACAGCTCAGGGTGAGACTGCCATACAACAGGGTGATGAATGAGATCGTAAGATGCTGGAAGCCTTAAACAAAACAGGAAGTTTGGGAAACATGCAGGGTCAGTGAGTTTCTACAAGGAGAAATACTCATGGTTCAACCCTTTGTTAGAAAAGGGTTATACCCAATTATTTTTTTCTCCTTTCCCTGGTATTTCCAGCAGTTTCTGTTTTTTTACGCCAAAAAGTCCTGGATGTATAAAGTGAGCATATTCCAGCTGCAATCTCTGGGGAAAGGGGCTGAGTTCAGCGTGCGGTTGGGACTGGTTGATACCGTCTGCTCTGCCGAAACTCTACTGCATAGTTAACATTGGGACTGATCCCTGTCTTGTTCACTGTCACATTAATCTATGTTGAATGCTGTGTTGTGTGTGATGTCAGTTTTCATGTTATGAAGACAGTCACAGAGCAGGAACTAATCTTCACAGGCCCTCTGGGTGGGTCCTTCAGCTTTTGTTTGTGAACTGGGGGATTGGGGATTTGCTCAGCTTTTGAGCCTGGGTCTGGACCTGGCTCATTCCTACTCTGGGGGAATGCCATTAACTCTTGGACAGCTCTGCTATATTTTGTTCTCCTTATTTACTTGTGCACAGTACACTGGCTGTGGTCAGCCAGCTCGGAGTCAGTCCCCTGAACTGAGGAAGTTCTAAATCCCCTGGTTTTATTTTTTCCCTGTCCCCACACTACTGCTGAACAGTACCCCCCCCCCTCCACTCCTCCTCCTCTCCTCCCCCGCAACACAGCATCCATGTTGTGTGTGTGTGTGTGTATAAGTGCAGGGACTCGGTGAAGACACCATTGTGCAAATAATTTTATTCAATGCTTCCACCATCAGGAAAAACACCCATGTGACCAGGGAACTAGTAACAAGCAAAGTCCAATAAGGACAATGCTGATAGCTCTGTTTTATGACGTCTCAGCAGCCTGTGTGTCACCTCATGGGTTTCTGCAATCAAATTCACAGTGTCATCTGTGGGGACTGCCTTCCTGAGCCTTGGCTACTGATGTACACTCTCTACCCCAGCATCACCAATACTCCCCATTGATACCTGCAATAGCGCTCCGTCACTTCTCACTGAGCTGTTCTGTGTCTGTCTCCCCTCTTAAGTGTCTTGGTTGTGAAGTGGTTTGGACTTACTGATGAGTTCCAGCCACAGCCTGCCTTGATTTGGTGTGGTAGGCTTTACCTACATCTTGAGGTGTTTTCTCCTACTCCTTGCCCTTAAGTTGCATCTGTCTTTGCATGATTGACTTTCACTGTATCTGGACTATGGAGGACAGGGAGTGTTTTTAGACTCAGTATGTTTCCAGCTTTCTCTGCATGTTTGAGTCTGACTGTTTATGTGGGGCATGTCTCTGTCTTAACTCTCATTGTGTGTGTGTGTCACCATTTGGAGAATCTGAGTTTTCCCTATGGAATTTTGCTTGTGCTCTGTCCTGGAATAGGAACTGAATAAAGCTCCCAGAGCAGCCCATGGCAATGGGACAATAAAGTAGGACTTGAAGTCTGGAAGCAGAAGGGAGAAAGGAAAAGACTTGCGGGAGCCAGAGAGAGAAAACTGCAGCTCACCGACTTCCTCCAGCACCAATGAATGAATCTGGATAAAGTTTCCATTCTGAATGTTGCTGCCATCTTTTGTACATTTCACCTGTGTGAATACTGAAAAAATGCTGTATTTTCTATAATGTTGTACTGTCAATGTCTGAAATTTCTTCACTCGAATGAAACAGAAGTTGTGTGAAAGAAACTATTTTTGATTTTCTTACCAAAAATAATTCTAATTATACATATGTTCTAATAAATAAAATGCATCTCAAGTTTTAATGCATTTGTCCAATTTGATAACAAGGACGTTTAATGGGACCACTTTCTAAGAGAAAAGGAATTCATTCTAGGTTACATCAATGAGTAAGATACAAAAATGTATTTATTATAACAAATGTATCCTTTAATGTGGAAAAAATGGATTACGAATCATTAACATGCACATTTAAACTATAAATCAAAATGCTCAGGCATTCAGTAACAAGTAGTATGGACAAACAAACGAGCTAAACAGATCTGCAGGAACAGGGTGGATGAAATAAAGTAGCAATAAAGAAACAAATTCACCGGATCAAGAGTCCAAACCACAAGGTGGACTGAGGTGAGTTTCTTTCCTTTATTTTGGTGGTGATATCACTCATTAACTGCAGCCATTGTCACAGGCTGAGTTCTCCTGAGAGATGGTATGTGCTGAACAGCTTCTTATTGCTTCAGATGCACCTCTGATGGTGGGGTGGGCGGTGGGGAGCAGACTCAAATTAGGAAACACTGGTTAGCACTGCTGCCTCACAGCACCAGGGACCCAGGTTCAATTCCACCCTCGGGCGACTGTCGGTCTGGAGTTTGCAGATTCTCTGTGTCTCCCCAGGTGCTCCGGTTTCCTCCCACAGGCCAAAGATGTGCAGGCTGGGTGGATTGGCCATGCTAAATTGCCCGTAGGCAAATCAGGGATTTGTACATTAGGTGGGTTATAGGGGGATGGGTTTGGGTGGATGCTCTGAGAGTGAGTGTGGACTTGTTGGGCCGAAGGGCCTGTTTCCACACTTTAGGGATTCTATTAATTTCTCCTCATCTTGAACACTGAGACTGTGAGCACATGCTCTGACAGAGCCACAGTTCCACAAGAGGGATGTGACTTTATCAGTGCAATTGGATTTTGAATTGAGCTTCTGAATATGACCAGCCTCTTCTTAACCCAGTTCCCCCAAACCTTGCAGAGCATATGCAAGACTTGTTCTCCCATGCACCAGTGTTTATTTGTGTTGTCGACAGGAGTAAATAGTCCAACAGGAGGAATGCTGAACTGATATAATGTTTAATTCAGTAAAAAAGATGGAAAATTAGTTTAAAAAGCAGAATCCACTAGTGTTGTGGACTCTTATTCATATACACTTTCTTCATTTGGTTTGGTATTTATAAACATGAGCTTGGAGACCAAGGACTCTTGTACAAAATAAGGGTGGTTTTCAGAGAACATCTATATAAAAAGTAAGTAGCTTATTAATAAATCATACTTTCACAGAAAAAAAAATAAAATCCACCATCATCCACTGTTCTTAACAGACAATAATGGGAGTTATTTTTGGGAATGTGTGCTTTCTTAGACAGTGTTGGAGATAACCCGCAGTATTTCACAGTAAGTGGAGTGATGTAGGAGTGTTCCTGGTTTATAACTGCATGTGTGCGTCTGTGCCTGTAGGGGGACTGGTGTCTATGTGGTGCTGATTCAAGAATTGTATCTTTACAATTCCCCAGAAGGAGGGGTTGACAAACATTTCCTTTGTCAATTTTTTGTCTCCTTCAGCAGAGCTGCATCGGCTCAAACTCTAAAGAGAAAGGGAAATTAAAGAACAAGTTCAGTTGTGAAGAGAAAACAAATATGCAACGTATAGAGACTTTCATGTCTCAATGCATTTTACAGCCAAGTAAGTACTTTTGAAGTTGCACTGAGCTGAGGAAGATCTAAGAAAGACCTTTAAGATAACAAGTATCTTAATAACACAATGAGAAAAGTCTGCTAAAACACATCTGAACATAAGAACTAGGAGCAGGAGTAGGCCATTCAGCTCCTTGAGTCTGCTCCATCATTTAACATAATCATCACTGATCTTTGTTCAGCCTCAACTCCATTTTCCTACCTGCTGTAAATAACTCTTCAACTGTTACTAACGAAAAGGCTGTCTATCTCCTTGAACTTACTCAATGTCCTAGCATCCACCTCGGATATTGAGTAAGTTCAAGGAGATAGACAGACTGGGATAGTGAATTCCACAGATTTACAACCCTTTGAGAGACGTAACTTCTCCTCATCTTTGTTTTAAATCCCCACCCCTTTATCCTAAAACTATGATCTCTCATTCAAAATTGACCCACATGAGGAAACAGCCTCTCTAGATCTACATTGTCAATTACTTTTAGCATCTTATTTACCTCAAATAGATCTCCTCTCATTCTTCTAAACTCTCAAATGCATAGGCCTAACCTGATAAATCTTATAAGAAAAACCCCTCATCTCTGCAATCAATCTAGTGAACCTCCTCTGAACTGCCTCCAATGTTTCTACATTTCTCCTTAAGTAAGGGGACCAAAATTGGGCGTAATACTCCCAAGTACAGTCTCACTAATGCCTTAAGCAGTTGCAGCAAAACTTCCCTACTTTTATTTTCTATCCCTTTAGCAATAAATGCCAGAATTCCATTTGCCTTCCTATTACCACCTTTATTTGCATACTAGTTTTCTGCAATTCATGCACAAGGACTCCCAGATCCCTCTGCAATGAAGCACTCAGAAGTTTCTCTCCATTTCAAGAATAAATTGCCTTCTTAATCCTCTGAGTAAAATGGATAATCTCACATTTACCCATGTTCTAGATCATCTGCCAAATTTTGGCCTGTTCACCTAACCTATAGGGCTCAATGGTTAGCACTACTGCCTCACAGCACCTGGGACTTGGGTCAATTCCACTCTCGGGCAAGAGTCTATGTGGAGTTTGCACGTTCTCCCCATGGGTTTCCTTTGGGTGCTCTGGTTTCCTCCCATAGTCCAAAGATGTGCAGGTAACGTGGGTTGGCCATGCTAAATTGCCCAAAGTGTTCCAGGGACATGCAGGCTAGGTGGATTAGCCATGGGAAATGCAGGGTTACAGGGATAGGGTAGGGGTATGGGTCTGAGTGGCTTGCTTTTGGGAGGGTCAGTGTGGAATTGATGGGCTGAATGGCCTGTTCCCACACTGTGTGGATTCTATCTATATCCCAATTGTAAATTTCTTATTTCAACTCACTGTTCCACCCATTTTAGTGTCACCTGCAACTCTGGCTATAGTACTTTTTATCCTTTCATCCATGTCATTAATAAAGATTGTAAATAGTTCGGACCTGAGGACTTAACCTTGTGGCACCCCATTAGCTATATCTTGCCAACCAGAAAAATACCCATTTGTCCTGACTCTGCTTTCAGTTGGTTAACCAGTCCTCTAATCAAGCTAATAAATTATTCCTAACCCCATGTGATCTCACCTTGCATATTAACCTTCTGTATGGTACCTTCCTTCTGAAAGTCCAGATATGTCTGCAGAATCCCCATCGATGGGGAATGGCCTGCAGTGAGCTGAAGAGTTATTACTATAGGCCCCAGCAACCATGGAATAGGGATGAGGGAGAATCAGAACAGGGCACCTAATCACTTGCGATACGGAAGTACTGGAACCTGTTCTCTAGCAAGAGACAGGCTGAAGGAAAGGCAAAACAAACAAGGTTCCATCTTTATCCTTTGTTCTTGAGCTCGGGAGTGATAAGCAGAGGTCAGGACTGTACTGAGCGAGAGCTTTGTAGAAAAGGTAACAAGCACGGCATCCTTTACTCCTTAGATCCATCAAAAAATCAGTTACTCGCCTGTGCAGATCCTCATTCCTGTTCAAGTGCTGAAAATGCATAGAATGACAGCTTGTTAAAATTGGTTATTTTTGGTGTACTTTATAAAGTAATTGAGATGCAGTCTTTTAGCAATTTTCAACTCAGAAGCTGCTATACCAGAATTTAAAGAAGTGCACTCACTCTAAGTTGTCATGTCACATCCATTTATTATGATGGTTAGAGGTTATTTGTTTCTCCCTGGCTGTCAGATAGAGCCTGGTCTCAATCTGTATCACTTACTGATGTGAAAACACAAGCCTATGCTCCATTCAAACGTCCTTCCATCTTTTGTCTGTATCTATCGTTGTTACCATCTTGTTCCCCTCCCTCATATACTTGTCTAGCTTCCCCCAGATATATCTACACTATCCATTTCATACACTTGGATCAAATGGCCTCTTCCAACTCCGTAGGGATCCTATTCTATGTTTCCAGTTTTACATTGGTGGTCTCCAGTTATATCCATCCCCATGAGAGGACACATTCTTTCTGTATCCGCCGTATCAAAACCTTCATGACTGTAATGATCTTCATTGGGACACCCCTTAGTCTTCCTTTCTCAAGAGAAAAGAGTTTTGCCTGTCAACTCTTTCCTGATATCTGTACCTGTGTAAATCTCTGCACCTTGCATCTACATCTTTTTTATAATATGGTGATCAGAACTGCACACACTACTGTAAGTATGTTCCAAACAAGGTTCAAAACAGATTTAGCTTTGCCTCCCTACTTTTCAACTGTAACCCCCTGGAAAAATTCAACAAGGTCCGTTAGGCAACAGTTTCCATTTTGAAATCCATTCTAGCTGTTCTTAATATTATTCCTGGCATTGAACTGTCTTCAACTATGTTTGTTAGTCTGTTCATCTGTAACAGTTTACCATAAAAACTGATACATGGGTTTCATCAAAACTTGACAAATGGATAAGGATAGTGAGAACTTTTATTTGGGGAAGATTCAGATCTGGATTAGGAGCCTGGAATTTTTAAAAAGTATTCAATGACATCGGGCAAATTTACTTCTGAAAAAAAATTTGGAATATTTTATTTAGAATGTTGGTGATTGTTTTAGAATTTTCCAGCCAATGGAATGGAATTTGTCATAGCTGTCATAGCAGAGTTTTCAGAGCAGGTTGTTGGGCACATGTTGATCTATTGCTTCCTTAATCAGATGAAAGTGATTGATAAAAAGGGATCCAGATTTTCAGGTTTGTAGCTACAGAATGTAAACCAGGCAATGAAAATCCTCAAGTAAGAGCTACATATTATAATAACATTAAATTAACAACATGGTGGTGGTGTGTGTGTTCCACTGAGTACCCTCTTCACATGTACCATTTTTTTTGTAATTGTTCTTTTATTCTCTCCTACA